GTCTCTGTCACTGGATCAGGCAATAGGCCACCAACCTTCAGGTTAGGGAAGTCTTTCAGCAAGTTACCTACATTCTCCTCCCTCTTCTCCTCCTCCTCCCTCTTGCTGGTCTCAATTCAAAAATCCCCCGCTCTTGTCCCGGCTTTTATGTCGTCCTCCCACATGTCTATCCATTGCTCCTCCTCCTTCCCTTTCCCTTCCTCTGACAGACACACCTCTACTTTAACCCTTTCCTTGTCTTCCTTCACCTTTAACACTTCCCTCTTATCCCTTATCCCTTTTACGTCCTTGTTTTCTGGAGGAGACAGCGCACTCCTATCATCCTGTCCTTCACAGGATAGTTCTTAAACTATTATAACTATTGGTGTCTAAATTAATTATTGATAACAAGCAAGGAACAGCATGGTAATAAATACCATATTTTTCAGTGTATAAAATGACACTTTTTCCTAAGAGGCAAAATTGAGTGTCGTTTTATACATGGAAGGAAGCAGTCACATGTGTGCTCAGGCACCTCTTGCTGCTGCCGCCGCCACCCAATTGCCTCTTCCAGAGCTCTTGGCTTGTCCCTTCTGGTGGCCCTGAGGTGGCAGCAGCAGGAGGCAGAGGCGAAGGAGCAATCACACGTACTCGGGCACCTCTTGCTGCAGCCTTCACTGCCCACCCAATCACCACCTCCAGAGGGACTGAGGGTCTCAGCTCATGTCGCCACCTTGTCCCCTCTAGTGGTGGAGGCAGGAGGAGGCAGAGGTGGAGGCAAAGAAGCACGCACGCACGCTCGGACGCCTCTTCCTGCTGCCACCGGTGGATGACCTCCTCCCACTATCTCCTTAGGGCAGGGGACAAGGGAGCAACATGAGCTGGAGGTGAGCCCTGGCAAGGCAGTCCGCAGTCGCACTGGAGGAGGTAATCGGCTGGGCAGCAGAGGCAGCAGGAGGTGGAGGAGCAGTTGCCCATTAACTGCTCCTCTGCCTCCATCAAAGGTCAAAATTAGGGGGTTGTTTTATACATTGGGGTCATATACACGGTAAAATATGGTTTCTCTAATCACTAGGAGGGGGTTTCTATGACATCATATTTTCTTCTGCAACCTATGTTTGAATGTATGGGTGGTTTTTAACATTTTTATGAGTAATCTGGTGAGAAAGGCCAGATTACTCATAAACATGTTAGAACTTGCTTATGGTTTCAAATGCAGGTTGCAGAGAAAATGTGAAATATCATAGAAATCCTTTCCGTACATGACCTATTGCGTTTGTAAGGTGGCTCTGGTTAGTTAGGAAGAAAATACAAATGGGAAATACAACAGATACAACACAATTATCGCAGTGTTTTACATCTCATAATGGCCTAAGAAATATTGGCTAATATTGAGTCCACTGAGATGGGTTTTAAATATATGTATCTACTTTATCTCAACTCTGTCTCTATGGATTCTTATCCTGTTACAGAGCTTCAAAATCCAGACTTTTTCCTTTTCTTTCTGTCCCTCCTCACCTCTGTATTTGTTTATTTCATTATCTGACTCAACATGCTTCTCAAATACAGCTGTAGATGTCATCCTCCATATGTGGGAATGATGCGGGTAAGAGCATGCCCCTTTCAGGTGCTTCCTAGTCATTTGGAAGCCTTAGGAAGATCATGAGGCATATCTTAACATCCCGGACTATGCATATTCTTTTGTCAGGTTCTAGATTCTGGCTTGGTATTGTTTGAAGAGGCAACCCTGTAATGATATTCATATTTGTGCAAATCAAGGATTTACCCACCCTTTCTGTATGTTATATGTGTTATTCTTATATGACTCTACAGTAGAAAGAAGTAATCTCAGGAGAAGGGATTATATAAAGGTGCAGTGGGCAGCCTTTTCTGAAGGAAAATAATGTTATTTCTGATGGTGGAGAATGGCTGAATTGCCCATGATGCAAAGATGTGATAGGATTGACCAACTTCAAAAGGAAGCAATCCTGTGTATTTATTTGTGTGCATAATTCCCTGGAGCTTTTAATTCCCTCTACTTACTTTGTTCAGCACAGAGTTTGAGAATTACTTTTGAATATTGTTACTGGTTGTAAGCGACTTGCTGGTACTCTTATTCTTGTGTAATCATGAGTTAGACCTCCACTGTACTGAGTAGTTTTAGTGGCTGCTTTCAAATTAAGTTTCTCTGGAGCATCAATGTAACAACAACTGAGTTTTTAAAACAATGCTTTATGCACAAGAAATCTGCAATGTCAGTGTTTACATGCGCAAAAGCATTCTTAAACCATCTTCTGCTCAGGTTCGTCCTTTGATCATCTGTATGGCATGACAGGGAGTGGCTCCTTACATTTTCTCCAAGGCTACGGAAATCTCATGCCACCTTATCCAGGAAGAAGCCCTGTTGAACGCAGTAGCATTTATTGCACCATAGCCTCCACCACTGGGACGTTGTCCCGCATAAAAGTCTCACTACAATTACCAGGAGCTATGACTCCATGCGGGGAATACAGGTCTCAGGGACAGAGCAAATCAGCCGGAGAGTTACACGATGTGAAGGAGAACCGGAAAACAAAACCGAGGTCGCCGAATGGTCCGCCTTTGAGCCAGCAGACCTGCCGGTATTGCTGGAAATTTTAGCACTCTTCGCATAATATCTCCTGCTCAGCGACCAGTCCTCTCCCTCGCAGGAAAGGTTTGCAGCTGCACAATGAACGAAATGGTTCTGAATTGCAGGAGCTTCTGTTTTTGAGGGTGTCCCAGTATACAGTGGTTTATTCAACTCCTGGGTGTGTGTTTGGAGAGAAGAGGAGCAGTTATGCCCAGAAGGGACCGAGCAGGCTCCGTGAGGTGGCGTTGGGAAGTTTCTCGCATCCTTGTACGTGAGAAGCGGCTGAGGCAGTAAAGCCCCCCGCCTTCTGTGCAGTACGTGCAACGTTTTGCCGGGGCTTTTAGCTGAGGATATTGATGACTTGCTGGGAAGCCTAATAGGCTGTTCAAAGTTTTTTTTCTTCTTCTTCCTCATTTGTGGTTCAGAAGTGGTGTTATACTAATAAGCAGGATGCATACATTTCTGGGCTACTTTGGGAGCTTGCCAGGTAGATTGCTTACCCTTAAGTATCTCCTCACCATCAGGAGGCGTGTGTGTCTGTGTGGGGGGGAGTCATCTCCTTTCCCAGTGTTTAATTATTCACCACGTTTGATATATTCAGGGTAGGGCCAGTTACTATTCTGAACCTGGTACCTTTGTATTGCCGTGTTGTTACAGAAGAAGCGGCGGCTGCTTATTCCTCTGCCCACCGCGGCCGCGCTGATCCTGTGATTGCACCCTTTATGCACCAGCCGAGGGATGCTGTCCGTTTCCCATTCAAACGCATCCCAATCTGGGGCAGCTGCATTGGTTAGGATGGAGGAAGTGGGAGAGCGGGGGGGGGGTCCTCTACCACATACGCCTAGCCCACCTGTTTTGAGCACTTGAAACTTTTTCCCCACTGCAGTACTTTGCCTTTTGGCCCGACAGAATGCCTGGTCCCCGGCCTATGCTTTTGGGGGCCACACTGGCCTGCCCTCTTGCTCCAGTCCGGCGGACAGCTGGCACTACCAATTTTGACGTGGGCATTCAGGCTGCCAGGCAGGTTGCATCGCGAGGCTGGCTACTTTTGCACTGACTTGCGGTGTGCTCCCCTTTAACGTGCACATCGATCCGTATTTTGCTGTGGGTGGGTGGGTGGATGCGCCCGGGCCACAAACACTTGTGACAAACTCCCTTTTACTCTGCGCTTCTTTTGGCGAGGGGGGGGGACGTGTTTTGACCTGTCATTTTCTCTTCCCTCCCGCGTGCTTTTCTTCTCGCCTCTGCGCGTCCCTTCCCGGAGAGAGGGGGGGGTTTGCCTGGGTCAGCGATTTGCAGCCAGGCGCCCTCCCCTCCCACGAGCCTCCCTCCGCCTCTTCCTCCTCCCT